AAGATCCGAAGAAATTCAAGGATCCCAAAGAACTCAAGGATCTTAAGGAATTCAAGGATCTCAAGAATCCTATTGGAGATATAGGAGATATTTGAGATATTCCAGATATAGCAGATATTGGAGATATAGGAGCAGGATGGCGGATTGACCTTTGATCTGTGATCTTTCACTAGGGAAGACACGCGAAGCTGTATTAGCCACCCGGTCTTTTCTTATAGAAGATGTAAAAGATATATATTTCTACTCTCATTGTCTCGAAAAAACCTAGAATCAGTCCTAAGATATAAATCTGTTTTAATAAAATGTCACCGAACACTTTACGACAAGGCACACATCACATCGCGCCTGCTGTGGGTGACGCGAAGGGACTGGCCACACTACGACACAGATCACATCGCAGCTGCTGTGGGTACTGCGAAGACACTGATCGCGATAGGAGTGGCCATAATACGATACACATCACATGGCATTTGGTGTGGGTGCTGTGAACATAGATGTAATACTTGAAACTAAATTTCAACGAAGCTTTGTAGTTTCAACTAAGCTTTCTAGTTTCAACTTTCAGCTATCAAATTCTGAATTTCATCCACACTGTAAAATATCTCGCATGTTTCTCGATGTGAGTGCCACGAAGGAACTCATGCAGTGTCTCTGCCAACGTCATACTGTCAAACCTGAAAGGTGAGTGAACTACCCAGTAATCCCATGGATAGTCACTGGATGGTAAGAACTGTTCCCCGCCGAACTGACCTTTTATATGAGAGACGGGGTGCATGTGATGTCTCCGGAGTGTTTGGGCGGAAATTCAATTCAACATAGACAGAGGAGATATAGTTGATATTGGAGATGCACGAGATATAACAGGTATAGAGGTATTGGAGATGTAAAGGAGGTAGAAGACATTGGAGATATTGATTAACTAGTGCAGATAATCTTTATGTAGTGCTTGACTTTGAATAGCGATCCATTCAGATATATTCATTCAACTTTCCGATACTTGCTGAAGAAAATCAATCATAAAAAATAAATAACTGTTTACTATGCCTGCTACATCTTTATATCTTCAATATCTGCTATATCTCCTGTATCTCCAATAGGATGCTTGAATTCCTTGGATCCCCTGGGATCTTTAAATTCCTTGGAATCCTTGAGATGCTTGGCATCCTTGAATTCCTTGGGATCCTTGGGCTTCTTGGGATCCTTGAGCTCCATGAGATTCTTGGGTTCCTTGAGAGCTTGGGGCTCCCCGGGTTCTGAGAGATCCATGAGATCCATGGGCTCCTTGAGTTCCGTGGGCTCTTTGACTTCCTTGAAATTCTGGGGTTTCTTGGGATCCTTGGGTTTCTGGAGTTCCTTGAGATTCTTGGATGACTTGGGATCCTTGAGTTCCTTAGATTCCTTGGGATCCTTGTGATCCTGGAATTTGTTTACGCCACCTTATGCTGTGATTTCTTAGTGCCCGTATGTGTTAAATAATTGTTGAGTTGAAGAATTGCTCAAGAGTTGGGAATTCACCGAATCCGGATAAGTCTCTATTTTTGGCTCATACTGAAGCAGCATGTAAAAAATTCTACGTCGAAAATTTATTTTTCAGAAAAACTATTCATTATCTTGCATGCTTTCCCTTACTATTAACACCTAAACTATTCGAAGTAGCACCGTTTCGGAATGCATCTAGCCTTTTATAGTATCGTTTACTGCGACAAATACAAACCAAAAACTCGCTCCAAGGAAAATACGGCAAGTTGCCCTTATTTTCCCAAACACTGGAAAAATATGATGAAAACAAGAATATTTTCGAAAACTCATGAAAGGTAACATTTATTTAACTCTAAGGCTTTTAATGGAAGAGTTCTAATGTACACTCACAGAATACAGCTTTCAAAGCTCAACGAAAGCGTTTATTTAATTGGTTTCTATGGTTTGACACCATAAAATCCCAGAGAGATATCAAGCAAAAGGCTAGGGAGTCATTTATGCTCAGACACCATTATTTTTTAGGACTATGATTGTGCTATGGAACTACAGGGAAATTGAACTGCTTTACACTTATGATTGTTCGTCGTGACCGAAAAATATACATCAAAGTTTTAGAGTTAGAGGTATTTCAATGAAATCACCATTTTTTCAGAACTATGCGCCCATTATCTTTTACTGAAGAATCTTTTATGATTTTTATGTTCATCATAGGGGTACTGGATAACACAAGCACCAAATGAATCCATTATCCCACTTCGTCATTATGACTTGAGAATTTTCTGAATAATCCTAACCACAAAGTCATTTTAGAAGAAACACGGTTTTTCCAAAACCTATCGACTCAAATTTTGTTGATATCATACAAACAGCTGTTATCTAATTAGAACTATTCACTCTAACGACAATATCTTGAGCAAATTCTTCGCCGAAACCCAGTTGAAGAGAAATCCCTCGACAAAAATTTCATGAAGCACCTTTTATCTGTACAGTATCATATCTAATTTTCAACGAAGTCAAATAGCTTTGAATAGTAAAAGAACATAATGTTGAACGGTCTTTTTTCTACGTGGGACCTCACAGAGCTGATTGAGAATACCTGCTGCAGATATTTTGTGACAAGCGTGGCTTTACAGTAGTTAATATTTACTATTCATTTTATACAGAATTTCGGAACATTTTTCCCTGCAAGAAAATAATTACTATGATACGAAAAAAAAATAATACAAGCTTAGTGATATTATTTAAGAATAGAAAAATTCACTGAATACTTATGATAAAAAACACTCTCTAAAGAAAATACAATTTCAAAACACTTACGTTTGCTCTCTGTATTATACGAAGTCTTGTGTGCTGAAGACCAGAATAATACTAATATATCGACGTTGTTCTATACTAGAAATAAAAACAAGACGTTGTTTATATGTACATCACTAATATAAGCTTGACTTGTGTGCCTTCACTCGTGTCCGTGAAATAACTAATCATCAAATATACTTGAGATACCTTGTTTATTTCATACAAGTACTATCGTCTTTTCGCTTGTTCGATCATTTATGATGATATATTGATAAGATACCTGATTTTTTTCCCACGAAAATATTATTTTCGTTTTGCTTGTTCCATCATTAATTAAGATGTTTTAATCAGATACATGGTTTTTTCCCCGTAAAAATATTCTCGTCGTTTTGCTCGTTCTATTACTTACCGTTTGGACAGCTTGAAGGACGCAAAATAGTGTGAATCGAAGGCAGAAAAAATGATCACTATAACACTACTTTACTTGGTTTTTTTGCCATCACTGCACAGTATCAACAAAATATTAGCACTTCACAAGCAATACTAGCGTGCGGGTGTGGGTGTAGTTGTGCGTGTGGGTGTATGGGTATGGGTGTGGGTGGGTGTGGGTGTGGGTGTGGGTGTGGGTGGGTGTGGGTGTGGGTGTGGTTGGGCGTGTGGGTATGGTTGTGCGTGTGGGTGTATAGGTATGGGTGTGGGTGGGGGTGAGTGTGGGTGTGGACAGGTGTGGGTGTGGGTGTAGGTGTGAGTGTGTGGGTGTTGGTGTGGTCAAGGGAATATTACCACACCCACACACAATCGGGCAGAATATAATGTGTGTAATTAAAAAGGCAAATGCCACAGTAATCTTAAGAACAATGATCGACATAATGCCACAAGAGATCTATTTTGACTTGTCAATTATAAAGGTATATTAAATAAACTTATAGTAGAAAATGCATCATGTGTATGTGTGGATGTATAGAACAGAAAAATGAAGAAGTGCAAGATGAAAAGATAACTGCTAGTAAAATGTTGTATCGTACAATGTTCGCATGACAAGAAAAAAGAAAACGAAAACACTATACGATAATCAACATTAATACTTTTCAGTGCAATTGATATCAAAATAGGATATATGTGCATGTTTCACTGAAGTTATAGAATCGTTCTATTTTTGCGACGAATTTATTCTGTAGTTTGTAGCTTTTGGAGAATCTACATCAATTTAAGTAAATATTTTTCAGGCTGACATACATCAAGGTTGATTTGGTTTAATGAATAATTTTTGTTCGTAGATTAGATTTCAAAACTTTTGATAATAGG